TCTCTCTCCCTCACTCCCTCCCCCTCTCTCTCTATAAAGAGAGAATGAATAGCTGGAAGATCCATAAATAGAAAGTTAGAATTTCCAGGTTATGCTTTTAAAGTATAAGTCAGTTTCACTGCAGCTGAAATCTCTATCAATTCTGAGAGCAAGAAGTTGACATTCACTCGAGAGAGACAGAGAAAGAGATAGAGAGACACAGAGACAGAGAGACACAGAAAGAAAGAGAGCGAGGTGTTTGAAATGGTACAGAGACTGTGCTAGAAATCGCTCCCCTGAAACTGCTAGCGACTAGACTCGCACAGCTGAAACCAGCCACCCCGGGCAAGTAGAGTTAAATATTCCTAAAACAGAAATCTAGTTCTGTTATGAAACTGTTCATCATTTCCCCTCCTGACAGCCAGGAAAATCAGCGGGACTCGAAAGGGCTCCAACGATGAGCCAGTAGCATGGTTCCTAAAATTCAAATGCAGAGTCTCGGGGAGTTCGCACTGCCTGCCTCCAGAGCCCACCGCCACCAGTGAGGCGAAGGCAATGACTCGGGTAAAAGGGGAGATGGGCAAGTCTGACCTTGCGCGCTGCTTCTTGAACTTCCCCTGTGCCTGGGAAATATGGAAGTCTGAACAAGATAAAGGTAAAAACATAGTTTTGTGGTCTCTGAATAGATTTTACATACAGATTTGAGGAAACTAATAAATACAGATATCATTTTATTCCTCCGCAAATGCATGATACTTGTAACTAAATTAGCACTTTGCTATTACAGATGTTAGCCGACTGCTATATACCACAGAATAACCCATAAAGCTACAAGGCGGGGTAATGTACTAGTAAAGCAACTCCCAAATCTACCTATTACTACAAGAAGTGATCTTCATGTTAATAACTGGGAGCCCGTCATCTCGAAGTGTTTGGCTTTTTGCTTCAAGAAAAGAAATGAAATCCTGCCATTCGATCCACAGGCACACTGCTAAGTTTAATAACACCCCAGGAGTTTTGGGTTGCACATCGCTTCCCTTCGGCGAAGGGGCATAATCATATGTCTTTCCACCGAGTTGGAGCCTTCTATAAACACTTCAAAGCCTGCATCTGCTTGACAAACAAAATAGTCGATACAAAGAACAGTCCCAATCAACGTATCTGCCTATTTGAATACTATTAGGGGTTGATAAGCTAATCATCTGGGATGCTCTCATCTACAAGGATGGCAAGTGATATATAACTGTTACCAAGGAGACAATGCAGTAAGATGACATGTAAACTATCAAGCAGTTGAATAAGAAGATTAAAAGAACAAGAAATAAACATCTCCCGATAGATTCCTGACACATTGCGCCACCCACGATGAATGCACTCAAGGGCCACAACTCAAGAAGATGCTGTAAAGGGTCGCAATTTGTCAGCGATCCCAATGTTTGGCAGCATTTTTTAAAATGAGGGTCATCAGTCAGGACTGGGTTCTTGAGGGCCGATCTGAATTCCAAATTTTCCCACGATTCAAAGAATCCGTGGTCAAATGTAGATCCTTTTAAAAGTTAGAATATGCGGCTTATTCATTCCAGTGTGGATTAATATGTTCTTGCAATTCTCTGCCATTACCACCCTCTTTCCTCACAGACAGGACATTTAGCAAATACCAGGTATGCTTTCTACAGCAAAGGCTGTCTGAATTAACACTTAGAAACTCAAGTTCTGGGGACTCACAGGCAAGGTTAGGGCCTGGGAGAGCTATGTGCGCTCATCTCTAAGCCCAGGGAATTTTAAACACTCCAGTAACGACGTGGATCAAAGCTCAATCCTTTAGAAAGATTATCCATTCTAAAATCAGGAAAATCCGGCCGTGGCCGTGTAAGCACTTTCCTACTTCACCTTTGGGAAAAGAACTTCATTTCTGCAACAGCGTTTAAAACTCACACACAAGGCTATGCGGTCTAGGGCTGAAGCCAGCAGCTGCCCACATGTGTTCCTACATGCTGGTGCCCCTCTAGTTCAGCTCGGGGCCCATTGAAAGGAATATACTTATGGCAGGAAGATTCCTTCCGGGGCACAGGAGCCCGGAGCATGAGCAGCATGTCTCGCTTTAGAATCAACACTCCGTCCGCAGCCCTTAAGGGCAGAAAGCGACATTCACACTCATTTACTAAATTTCAACCTCTCTTTAAAGTAACCGACAGCCTGGCTGGGGTTTTGCAAAAACTCAGAGTCAGTAAAAGGAGTAGAAAGCAGCTGGGCACTGACACAGCCGTGCCCTCTCCCAGGCTCCAGAGTTTAAGGACTGAATCTAGGCTCCGGATGTTTTGTGCATCTTAGCGCGTTTATCCGTGGGGTCACTGAACTCGAACTTGATTACTGTGCAATATACTATTGGTTGAACTCCTTCGGCAGCGTCCCTGTCTGTCACACTGATGGCACCAGGCAACCGCTAAACTGTGGCTCCCAGCTGTTTCCCACCCCTGGCCCACGAGCTGACAGCTGCTTATCCATGAGCAGTGGGCAGCGGCCTGCACCAAGTGAACAGAGGTGTGAAGCCACGGCCCGTGTGACATGGGCATGAAACCAGTCTGCCGCGCTACCATCACCCTCGCCTCCAAGACCACTGTTTACACTCCAACTGTATACCTCGCCTCCCCCAGGCTAACTTACACCGGGGCCCTTCCCCTGTGACAGGAAGACCTTCTGACCCCTGTGAGCAGAGAGGGAAGGCGGAGACGGGCAAGAATCCATAAAGACCTGTGGAGGTCGGGGCCAGGCACCTGTGAGTGGCAGCGAGCGAGCGAGCGAGCGGAATGTTTCCGAGAAGGCCCAAGGGTCATCAGCAAGGCAAGTGAACATGCATTTCTCACTCGGGCTAGCTGAGCCTGCTCATTCTCGCCTGATGCAATGACCACCAAGGAAGGGGAGGAAACCTCAAATTATCCTCTCCCGACTGCAAGCAAGTCTAAGCCGGGCCCTAGGAAACCCCTGCGGCCTCGCTCCTGAGGCTGCGGCGGGGACTGCTAGGAGTCCCAGGGGCGAAGGCCAGCGCTTGGGGGCACCTGGGCACAGAAGGTGGGCAGCGTCTTCTAGGACTGTCAGCCTAGGTCCCACCCCGTGAACGCCACACAAGCACAGACCCCCCTCCTGGGTTTCAAGGAAGCCCGACTTCGGAAGCTAAGCGGGGCAGAAGACAGCTCTGCCCGTGTCACACGAGGTGGCCGAAATGTGGACACGTCGTTCCTCCCTCTAGCCCCGCCAGAGACATATCTGCCCCAAGTGCCGACTCTTCTTGCGTCTCAACAACACAGAAGCACATCTCGCCATCTTTCAAGGCTTCGGACTCCACTGTGACCCCAAGAAAGGCTAAAAGGTCTTTGTCTGCTGTCTCCTTGACTTCAGCATGTCAGTCACTGCTGGGGACAGCTGGTCAACCCACC